CCCCGTCCACGGTGTACCCCGCCTTGTGCCCGATGCCCCCTGTGATAGGCTCCAGGTTCCCCATGACCTTGGTATAGTGGTATTGCGCTGTGCTGTCTGAGTCGTTATATTAGGGTTATCTGTGCATTTTTCTCTTTTCACCACTACTCCACAGCCTCGTTTTTATATTAGAATGTAGCCATGACGACACTGTGCTCCACACTGCTTACTCTGGTGTGCAGTGCGTATTGCTTTAAAGTTGTGAGAAAGATTTGAAGGGAAGGTGCGGGGGAGGAGGCGGCAGTGCGCCAATAAGGGTGAACGGAGGAGAAGAAGAGCTGCTCTCTCCATACTAGCGCATGAAGATGAGAAGGAAAGACGCGGCGCTCCTCCTCAGCCTCATGAACACGCGCTTGGCGTTAACGGTGCGCTGATCCGCTCGCGACCTTCACCCGTAGATGGACGCGCAGGGAAGAGTCAGGATCCACTTGTCGCAAGAGCAAACCGATCGCTCCGAGTAATGGGGAACAGTGCACCCAAACCGCTTACAGGTAAGAATAGAACCGGACACGCACGAGCGTGACCACGCAGTACAGAACCGTGAAAACGCGAGCGCGTGCCTTGCAGGAGGAGCGCGCCCTAATTTCCACGCTTGTGCGTTTTGTTTTTTTTTTTTTTTTGCCTTGGGAAGCGTGCGCGTGCGTGCGTGCGTGCGCGTGTATGTGTGAGGAGGTAACTGCGTGGGAAGAGGACGATGAGAGCTGATGGTTTATGAACATGGTCCAGACTGATATAGATGAACATGTTGAACCACCAGTGCGCTCCAACATGTCTCCATCAGTGCTTCTACACCGAGTCCAGCTGGAGATTCGAGAATGGTCTAATGCTGTAGGTGCTGTAGGTGTCCGTGCTATATCACATAGCTCTTGGTTCAGCAAGAACTCATTTATCACTATTCATTCTCTGAAAATGTTCAAGTCCATGCTGTGGATTTCGGTCTGAGGGAACCTCCAGTGTGTGTGAACCTCCAGTGTTCAGATATCCCTTTGTTTGTGTTTTATGAGCCTGCATTTTTTTTTTTTTAAATGGTTCTAACGACGAACTTGTAAGCGAAGCAGTCTGTTCGTCTGAGATAAACACCTGAAAGAGGAACGTAAGACAGTTGGGGTTACTGTAAAGGGATTCACCTAAGTTAGGACGAATGTGCACTGGGAAGCTCGTGGGGGGGAAAAAAAAAGTTATCAGCAGTTAACAGAAGACGAAGGGTGGAACTGGAAGACGTCGATTTATTGAAATAAATCTTGGAGCTCGTTAGAGATACCCTGGTTACCTGTTTTGCTACGGTACAGCTTGGTGACCGACAGACATCCAACGTCCTCCAGATAATATGGTGTACACAGATTTGTCTCGTGTGGGCCGTTAGAATTTACCGTGCTATAGGAACGAGGTTTTTCAGAAGGGTGTTTTTCGAAAGGATCTGTATCTATTTTTATAGAAATGAGAACCGACGTCCATTTTACTTATCGTGCCGTTTTAAAGGAGAGTCTAGATGCACAACTAAACCCACTACAGACTATTATGCAGCTATTCAGTTTACTTCATGGGATTTTCCTGGCAGCGGACTGTCCTCGTTCTTTCGTCTATTCATGTTATTGACATGTATGGGCTGCTGACGGTACTTAAATTACCTCTAGATGTATTTTTAGATCAGCTATTGTCACCATACCCCATCACAGTTTTCTGTGATTTAGGTTTGTGGCGCAGAGCCTCATATCATGTAAGGTCTGTGTAGAAGCTGTATGATGCGAAAGGGAATCTTTGTTATGGATCGTTTGGTCTACACTAAAAGTGACTTTTGCTGATTTCAGACATGGTTATTTGGGTATTGAATAATCAAAATATTAGTCAGCCTGTGTATTATTCATAACTCCATATCATAAAATGATTCCAAGAGCCATCGTTGCGGATTGGGAAAAGGGGGGAAAAAACGAATTGAATGAAATACGTTAGAATTATGGCTATGTTATAAGCGTGAATAGACATTCAGGTCCGTGTGACACTTAAAAGCATGTGGTAAATTCATCATCTTAAAAATGTCTTCCCCACAAGTTGTAGCAGATGTGTACGCAGATGTATAACCGGTCCCTCGAGGATTTCGCGATTTTTTCCAATCACAGGAAGGAACGCCAATTCAAGCGAACTCTTCCGAGGCGCTCGCGATTTCCGAACATTCCCGCAGACTCTGCTTAGATTTGGGCCAAGACGGGTCATGTGATGTCATCACAATGAGCATTCGGTCAAAGCCCTCGTCGATTCACGTGCGTCGAACGTGAGTACAGCTATGAGGTCTCGTTCACCGACATTGACGGACTGTATAACAGGATGAACTATACTGAATGTCATTTTAATGTCATTTATGTTTTTCATGTTCTAGAATAGAGCAAAACTCTAATGGGATCCATTAGAGCCCACCGAGTGCTGTTTCTTCCCTCCAGTAATCACTCTTACATGGATAAATTGCATTTAATCGTGCTCAGAGACTTTTGATTGATGACTCCATAACACACGAAGGACTAATAAGTGACTTACTATGCATGTGACCGGCAGCAGTACGTCAATTGTACTCATGATATGTTAAAAATACTGGTGGCAGAAACTGTGCTGAATTCCGCTGATATAAAAAAAACTTCTAGGTGAAAAAAAAATTTGTAGGGTTTAGGCAGTGCTACAATTGAACGATGCTACACCATGTGCATTGATTCCCAGCAGGGATTTTAGCACAGAAATGAAAGCGCCACTCTCCTGAAGTGTACTCAGTGAAATTTCTCGCTCTCTGGTGTCTCTGCTGCGACATGCCCTTTACTGTAATTACCAGGCAACAGTCACTCAATGCTGGCAAGAAATACAGGAAACACTGGACTACAGATTTCAGCAATGCCATGGTTCACATGTGCGTTGTACAGCTGCAGAATGATTTGTAATTCAGGGTGTGACAGTATTAGGATAAGGATATGTCATTTTTTCTCTCTCTCTCTCTCTCTCTCTCTCTAACGACCCAGACTTCACAAGAATGCTCATTCAAGTTCAATGTTTTTTTGAGGTACTGAGGATAGCCCACTTTTTAAGGAAGAAACATTTGAGTACTGCAGCAAGCTGTGTCATACTCAAATATTCAAAGTTCAATGTAGGACTTTGAAAGTTCCTGGTTTTGTCTCTTTGATTCCCCTTAAAGATTCTATGTAGAACCTTGCAACAGGTTTCAATATCTGGTTCCACGTACAAGCTAATAGCCTAAAACTACCCAAAGAAGTACTTTTTAGAGTGTAGAAGTGGAAAGATGTGTCTCGATGAAGATATTTGAAATCGTTACCATGTTAAAGGGATAGTGCACCCAAAAAATGAAAATTCTGTCATCAGTTACTGACCCTCGTGTCGTTCTAAACAGAGAAGACTTTCGTTCAGCTTCGGAACACAAATGAAGACATTTTTAATGAAACCTGGGAGATTTCTGTCCCTCCATTTACGGTCCATGTAACCAAAACGTTCGAGAGAACCACGACGCACGCGTGTTGATGCGAGAGCAGACTTCTTTTGTCGAGAGCGGGTAAAAAAAACAAATATCCGCGAGAGTGGACAAAAAGAAAACGCGAGTGATGCCTCTATGTCGAAATCTGCAGACATCTTTGTTAAGAAAAACAAAACGGTTCTATTGTGACTCAGTCTGTGCACAGCGTCCCTCTTCCTCTGCTGTAAACAGTGCAGTCGGTTTTGTTGTATCGCGAGAACGCAAAAATCGTCCGCTCTTGATTTAAAAAAAAAAAAAAAAAAGTCCGCTCTCACGTCAACACACCACGCACGTGCCAGAGATCTATGCAGAACTGAAGATATTTAGCGAATAAAGACTTAATTTTGGGGGTTTTTTTTGCGCACACAAAGCATTTGGACTGGAGTCACATTGATTATTTTGAACTTTTCGGAGCTTGCGAGTTTTGGTTACATGGGCTGCAAATGGATTAACCGAAATCTCCCAGGTTTCATTACAAATGTCTTCATTTGTGTTCCGAAGATGAACGTAAGTCTTACAGGTATGGAACGACATGAGGGTGTGTAAGTGATGACCGAATTTTCATTTGTGGGTGAACTATCCCTTTAATATTGTGCTATACAGTATGAGAGAATGATATCACAAATACTAGCTATGACACCTACGTTTTTTTAAACAAACAGAACGTCTGGTCAAAAATTTGGGAACGCTAAATTAATATATTGTTTAATTAACTACTAAAGGCCAGAAGTCCACGTTAAACAGAATTTCGTTAATTTACTTAACCAATTAATTTATGATATTAATGCTGCTTCAGTGTTGTCTTCTTTAAAAAGTCAGCTATTGTAATATACTGAAAACCGGCATTCTGGGTTTCATTGTTCTCATACCATGAACTTTTCATACACTTCCACCCCTTAAAGTGACCATGACCAAGGTGTATCTAGTGTATTTCATGAGCACTTGTTACTGACTACATCAGCCTGTGCCATTTCAGTCTCATCTGAAACCCTGTGGTCACCACCACATCAACAATTTTGCTGTCACCTCCTCCCAGAACTGAACTATGGAGCAATCAGCGTTTTTCAGTTCCTTCATTTGTGAAATCACTTACATTCATTGCAACAACAAAGTCGAGTCTCACTGACAGCTATCCGTCATGTAATTCTAACACGACTTTAGGTGGAGACAGAATGGGATTTCTATTCTGCCCTTCAAATTGTATGCATTGTAGAGCCTTCATATCACGATTATCGTGACCAAAACTATCACGGGTGTCAGTATTATCACGGTGTTGTTCAAAATGTGCTGAAAATGTACAAAAAGTACCGATACACACGCTGAAATCATTTAAACAGGGTTTATATTTGAAAATCAACAAAGAACAAATACAATTAGCCGAATAAACGTAATACAAATGTATATAAAATTATAAAGAACTGGTACAAATTTCGAAACATTCATCTAAAATCACGGGCGCACGGTGGCTTAGTGGTTAGCACGTTCACCTCACACCTCCAGGGTCAGAGGTTCGAGTGGCCCTGTGTGTGCGGAGTTCGCATGTTCTCCCCGTGCTGCGGGGGTTTCCTCCGGGTACTCCGGTTTCCTCCACCAGTCCAAACACCTGCCTGGTAGTGTCTAAAGTGTCCGTAGTGTATGAATGGGTGTGGGAGTGTGTATGTGATTGTGCCCTGCGATGGACTGGCACCCTGTCCAGGGTGTAACCCCGCCTTGTGCCCGATGCTCCCTGGTATAGACTCCAGGTTCCGCACGACCCTGAAGAAGGAATAAGCGGTATAGAAGATGGATTGATTTACAGCATGTCATGATAACATTGTCTGGTGTGCTTTCTTGAACGCTCACTTTCTCCATGTTTCGAAACCCGGTTTTGACACGGAGCATGTTAAAGCTTGCAGTGTGTGCTGTTGGAGAACTCTATTACTGCGACAGATTCACAGGAGGACTTTAGTGGACGCACTCAAGCGAGATTCGAGAACTGGACAGCAGCAACGCTGTCTGCCACAATGCCGATTTGCCATCGCATCGTGCAGACCTATATTTGGAAAGCGAACAAAACCGTGCTGCATTTCTCGAGTGGAGTTCAAGGCTCTCGTTTCGCGCTTGCCTGTACACAGAGTGGCGGAAACAAATGCCCTAAAGCCCACAGCTTGTGAGGAGGCGACTGGTGTTTTTTTTTTTTTTTTTTTTTTTCACTGCTTTGCACCTCAGATCTATTTATGAAATAAACCTTTGGTCTCCAACATCTCTGCAGTCGGCGATATTTATCAAGTGTTCCTGGTCACTGTGGAAAACAGAAAAAGGAGAAATATAAAGCTAATATGAACAGACTTTATATACATTATATTTTTTAGCATTTCTTTTAGAACCTACATAAGAACCACTGAAACTAGAAATAGATAGAATCATCGAAAACATTCCTGAATGCATATATACATATATATATATATATACACATACAGTTATTTTCACAGTCGCAGGGAGAAAGAATGGTCTTTAACTCCAAGCACCTGGTGTAACACGATTCAAAGCGGTTATATACACCTGTCATACAGTCTTACAAATTAAGCAAAGGCCTTTAAACAACAGGCTGCACAAGAAGGACTGTCATAACCATAACAATGTAATTATTACATAGAGCCGGCGTTCTCAAACTTTTTGAAGCCTGGGACACCTTTAACTGTAAAATAATAATAATAATAATAATAAATAACGTAAAACTTGCATAGGTCTGTGCGGTATAGATGTTTCGTCTGTTTATTAGAGCTTTTTATTCCACCGACAGAACACATTAGGTCAAACTTGACACTACGAGTAGTCAGACTATGCTAGTCGGGCTACGCTATATGAACACCACTTTGAGAACCATTGCTTTAGAGGCACCCGATCCGGTACATATGAAGCCACCCTTCTTTACACTCCACTGTCCACTGTATTCAGTCTGATTGTCTTACACATCCAGTCAGATATACGGGTAAGCCGTTAGTCATCAGTCTAATCTGCATGCTTGTTTAGGCAGTCCAATCTGGTATGCAGGTTCTCTGGTGTTACTGGGTATTCTGTTCTTATTGAGCTCAGGTCAGTTTAAAAAGCCTTTCTCTTGAGTTGTTGAAGGTTAGCCTCGAAAAAAAAAAAAAAAAAAAAAAAAAAGCCTGTCCTGGGAAACTTGCTTTCTTTACTGAGAACCGTTCCCACGATAAGTGTGCTACGTGTTCGTTTCTGGAAGCGCACATGGAAGATAAATGCGGATCGATGTTCTCTATGACTGCGCATTTAAGATAGGCAGTTGATCAATAAACCCACTTAGACCACTTTGACTGAGGGGCACTGTGAGATGTTGCAGAAGCTGCAGATTTTATGACACTTTTGCCTGTTACGTTACGCTTTCGAATGTAATTAGGTGGTGAGTCATGTGAAAACATCACCGAGATAAGACGCTATGCTAATAGGATTCAGCCCGTGTCGTCCAAATCAGTCGTTGGGGTTCAGCGGATCTGTCAAGCATAGCCTGTGGGGCACTGGTTTTATTATGTTCTTATAGTGGTGTTAAATACAACCCACCATTGTACACATTATTGCTCACATTTAAATAGCAAATCTGAGATCTGAATAGTTGGATTATGTTCTTAGATGAAGTCTTTCCGAGGTGGTTATGTGTTTTCTTCTCGCTTATATGAAGTTGAGAATGCTTGCTCTAGAACATCTACTTCCTGCAGTTAAAAAGACGTTCTATCAGTTTATTTTTTTTTCTTCCTTTAATTGTATTACTGCATGAAGTATTGCTTCAGCAGTTCTCTCGATGATGCATTTCTTCATATAGACGCACCCAGCGTGGATCTCACAGCTCGAGACCGGTTGTTCACAGCGGAGAGCGCAATTTAAGCGGCTGGTGACTTGGTCTGTTTTTTTTTTTTCTTCTTCTTCTTCAAAAGGCTATATTTGCCTTGGCTGCTGGGAGATCTGTCAATGCTGTCATGTCCATGGCCTTTAGTGTTGCTGATGGTATGCTATTGTTCCAAGCGTGAAAGCCTTTGCCATGCCGTTAAGCACCAAGCTCATGGCCAAAGGCAAATGTTCTCCTCATGTTGTTCATTAAAGGGAGATTGGGAGGGTATATTTATCTGGCCAGCATGAGAAAATGTGTGGGATGTCAGAGGGAGGGATTGGACATTGTGGGAAATGGATTTCCTTCTTCTGCTCCATCAGAAGAGGGTTACAGGAATAATGTTCTTTAAATACAACACAGTCTATTTTGACTAATATGTCAGAGTCTCAAGAGATCCTAGGGATTTCAGTGATTGATGTCTGACTCATGAACGCAGTGTTTTCTCCGAGGTGCAGCTGTTGCGTCTTGTGCCTGATGTCATGTCTTGTTCGCAAAACATTCAGCTTTGTTTTCCGATTCTGGCATTGAATGAAAATGTAGCGTTTAATCTGTTAATAGCAGGGAGTTAACATATGAACTGCGGTGCTCCTTGTAGATTTCCCAGCATCATTTCTAATTAAACAAAACATTTGGCTGTGTCGACAAAGCACATCTCTAGGACTCGTATGATTGATGACATATTGCAATATCCTGTAGTAGTCAGTATATTTGTTGTTGGACTTCAAAATCAAAATCATACTTGAAACCGTTCATCGTAGAGTATTTGTGTAACAGTGTCTCAGTTCATTAGTATGACTGAACCCCGTTACTACTTTAAAAATGTCGGACTGAAAAGCTTCATAGGCCACTGTATTGATGTGAGCGATTTTCTTTTTGCTCCAGTAGATGCAAACCTACAGCACCGCCCTGTGGCTAGCCGCCAGTATTACATTCTTCCTCATGGCACAGTGGAGAGGCGATCGTCCGGGTTGGCTGTCAATCTGGAGTCTACACGCTTCCACCCGCACACCAAGGGCAAGAACATCCGTCTGGATGCGCAGCTGCGACGTGCCACGCGCAAGAACAGCTTCTGCCATGGCCTGACGTTCAGCCAGCGGCCCATCCGTCTCTACGAGCAGGTACGCTTGCGCTTGTCGGCTGTGCACTCAGGCTGGAGCGGCGCACTACGCTTCGGCTTCACCAGCCTAGACCCGAGCGAGCTTGCCTCATCTGACATCCCCAAATACGCCTGTCCGGACCTGGTGGCACGGCCTGGCTACTGGGCCAAGGCTCTGCCCGAGAGACTGGCCTCGAGGGACAACGTGCTGGCTTTCTGGGCCGACCGGCACGGCCGTGTCTTCTACACAGTGAACGATGGCGAGCCTGTACTGTTCCACTGCGGCCTGAGTGCTGCGCGTCCACTCTGGGCCATCATAGACATCTACGGCATCACACAGGAAGTCACACTGCTTGGTGAGTTACTTATTTTCATCACACACAAAGTTGAATAATTATACATCTGCTTAGAACATTTTAGAAAAAGTAGTAACGTTAAATCATATTGGAATGGGAAATGGTCTGGTTCGGCGACCTGCTAAATGCACAAATATTGTTTTCTCTTTCTAATTTGCTATTTTAAAAGCCGGTTATCTGTAGCATGGGATAGACCATCACAAGAAATGACTTTTTTTTTTTTTAATATTATTTACTACCTTTTACATCATTTGGTAAAAAAAAACAAACCTATTTTGCTTTTGTCATTCATGGATGTGCTCCGAGTTCCCTGGGATAGGCTCCAGGCTCCCTGCGACCCTGTGTAGGATAACCAGTACCGAAAATGGATTGATAGATGGGTGGGTTCATGGATGAAATAGTATCTTGAGAGACACAGTATTTTATAAGAGTTGGTGCAGTCCAGAAATCACCAACTCTACAGCTCCTTATCGTTAAACTGCACTGAATTCTGAAAAATCCTGCGACGTGTTTGAGGTCTAATCTAATCCGCTGGGTCCAATTTCTGCCTCAAGTACCTGTTGAAGTCAATAATTGCCGAGCAATTCCTAATTGCTGTTCATTTAAAAAATCAGACCCTCTTTATCGTGGTAATTCTGGTCCCTGCAGCACGGCAGTTTGAGTAGCTGCATTTTTAAGAAATTATTCGCCACCGATAAGACTCTTCACTGACACTAAACTGCTTTAAAGGGGCCCCTGAGGAGGGCAGAAAGCCAGGGGAACAGACGTCATGATGACAGAGGTGCCGATGGTCACTATCACACCTTGACAGACGGATGGCTTTAGTGTGTGTGTGTGTGTGTGTGTGTGTGTGTGTGTGGTAGCGAGCTGGCTCATATCCTGTACCAAAGCAAAATACACACACCGTGTTGGAGGCCAAGCAGCACTCTTTCACTATCCTCTCCACTCTGCTACATTATTTATCTTCTGTCCGTCGGTTGGCGTGGCCATATTTGGTAAGAGTAGCTGTGTATCCCTGGAGAGAGAGCCTCCGAGGGACTGATATTCTGGGAGGCCACAAGTCTGCCAACTGAGCAAAACCAGACCCATGCAAATGTTGTGTCTAGCTTGTCAGTCAAGGCCTGCACCTTGATCTGCTTGTCTGATTTATTTCACTGGGAAATTAAAGGAGCTGTTGGCAATTTTTAGAGCTGGTGA